TTGTTTAATTCACTTTGATTTTTTTTCGAGGTTAGATCAAAGGGTTTCATCCATTGGGAATAATTAACGACCGTTTCTTGAGGATAATGCTCATGAATATAACTATGTAACCGATCTTCCACGTACGCACGTGCAGCTGCACTGCTTAACTTATAAAAAGTAGAACTAAATTTTTAGAAGTATCTATTTGGATTGCTTTTTTTGTCTTGCAATGACATTTGTACTATTTTACTTATTTCAAATGCTACTTTAACATATTTGAATGTTTTGAAATGTCATTTTCTAGAAATCAAAAATTGCTATGAAATTTATTATTCCCTTCACTACTACTACTTTGGTCACTCATACCAAAAGTGATCATATCAGTTATGAATTTTAATAAGCATTTACTTTGTGATGTCATCATTGAAGAACAGAGTATGAAGTGATTGCATTTGTTCATCGAAATACTTCTTCATAAAAATCCTCAAATTATCGATACAGAGATATGGAGATTCTGGCAAGTTTTAATGCACAAATAATATTTAATAGAAATATTTGCTCTTTTCTTGCATACTTTCCTTTCACATTTATTCTTCGCATTTTGAATGGTAAATGACTCTAATGGTTTTCTGAATTACTAATTAAAAATCTAAAATAAATTAATTAATCAGCAGTTAAATATAAGTTTGCATTTAAATTTTTCAGTAATTCAGAGTGATCGATTTCATTTCAGTTAATAAAGATTTTTAAATAAATTTTTAATTTTTTATATTCTAAAAATTTGATTCATTTTACAACTTAAAACAAAATGAACAAAATATACCTAAAGACGATCAATGCTACTATCAGTACCAAAGTAAAGCCTAAACTCCAACGTAATGATGTGAAGTAGTCTACATTCAATTCTTCGTAATTCCATGATTTTATTTTATCTTCTTGAGAAGCCTAAATTATGAATAGTTTTTGCTCGCTGTTATTTATTTTCACAAATAATCAAGTAATAAAAAGATAAAAAACCACCGCACCATTATTTGTAAACAGATAAAGTAAATTCTGTTGTAATTTTTCAGTAATTGAGCAATATTTAATGGGAAAAAAACTCAATATCAAGTGCCTTCTACTTAAACAGAATAAATGACCATGTGATCTGAATATTGATTTAAAAGAACGTGATTTATATCCCCAAAAATTAGTGTGAATTCAATTAAAATTGTTAAATTATATGATACGGAGTTGATAAACAGACTAATTCAGTGAGATTAAGATGATATCCTTTATGCATGAAATTATTCATACTAATAATTCAAAAAATACTAAAGATTAACGTCCATGTTATTAGTGATTTCTTTTTTATCAATTGTTTAGCAATAATATAAGCAGGAACCGATGGCAGCCATTTTCGCATACGTTATTGCTACTACCTTCATAAAGAGCATTTTCCCAAGAGATCTGTATTGTTGTCTTACTAATAATAAAAATTGTGAGGAGTGTAAACGTAACTAACTCGTAATGCTCGGTGTCCGTAAAAATTCCATAAGCATTCACATATACACAATCAATTGCAATCAATCGATTTCCATCAAGAAATTCCATCTTTCTTCTCACAAAAGTAAGGAAGCAGTGGTCTTGCTTTCTTTCTTTGTAACACATGTACTGTGGTAAGTAAAAGGTCAAAGTTATAGCTAAAGTAAGCTGATCATTCTGTTTCTTCCATTGCTGTCAGGTATAGAAACTGTTTGTTCTAAATTTCCTTAAAAATTCAGAATGTATACAAAAGAAGTACTCTTGAATTTTATATATTTTTAGTTGAGATACACATTTATGGTAAGATTGAAGTTGGAAGAATTTGATTTTGAAGAAACTGACTGACAAATATTGACTGCGTGAAATAAAGTTAAGATGGATGTACGAAGAAGTAAAGTTAATATCGATTGTGTGAAATAAAGTTAAATTTATTCAAATAGCTTTGTCAGGCCTAACTGCTTTTCATTCTTTATCACTGCCTTATAGCCCGAGATTGTAATATATTCGTTCTGATACATTTAGTGCTAGTTTGCAATTTGATTCATTTTTCAGTTCTTTACTAATTCAATAAACTTATGCTACGTTTCATTCCTAAGCCTCTGAAGAGAATGGTATAATGCTTATTAAGCTTTGAAGAATGCATTAAATTAGATGTTTGCTCATAATTTCATTTTTAGCAATTTTTTGAGAAATTTGTAAAAGTGATAGTATGCAATAACAGTAAATTGGATTTCTTTTTCTGAATTTTAAAAGTGTTTTTGACATTTTACGTGAATATATAGAAGAAATGTACGTGAATACGTACGTACAATGTACGTATTCACGTACATTGTACGTACGTATTCACGTACATTTTTTTGTATGCTTGTTATTCAACTTTTGAGTACAATAACTGTTTTATACGAAATACTACATGAAGAAAAAAATTTTGTATTAATTTCTATAATGGATAATTAATTATAAGTGATGTTTTTTGGTAAGAGCATCAAATAATATACCTTTAAATTTCAACAAGATTTTAGTGTTTAGAGAGTTAGTTGTTCTCGTAAATCGTTTTTGGACAGTAGTGATGCTCGTAGGACACAAAATAATTCAAAGCTGATTACGTGAAAAATTTGATCAGCTGGAAAATTGTAAACACTGCACAATTAATCCAAAATGAATGAGTGTTTTGAATGAAATATCTGAATGTCATGCTACATAGGAAATATTTATAAGCTCAGAAATCTCTATGACTTCATGCGCGTCCAAACGTCGCTAAAATGTTTAATTCAGTAAACAAATATTAGTCCAAAAACCATTTAACAGAAACACAAGTGCGCACTAAACTTTTATTTTCATATAAGTAAAACCGCTTAAAAGCAGTTATTGAAGTCATTATTAATTATAGAAAAGGTTAAGTGTTCATGACTAAACATACTGTGAATGACTAAACATTTTGCTATCGTGACAAATCGACTTGCTTACTTTTAGAATTTAAGAATAGAAATGAATTTTTTAAAAACGATTTCTTTGCGCTTATTTTTCAACTTTATTGTGATTTGAAAAGCTTAAAGCTCAAGCTTGAGCAGAAATAATTTTAGCTGATGTAATGCAAAGGTTAAAAAATATAGGGCATGTATTTATCTAACTAGTACATCTTAGACTTTTTTTTTGATGGAATTTTGTTGTTTATTTTTTCAATGAATTGCTTTATCACAATATTTTTAATGATTATTACTTCATCTATTACTACTTTATTCTATTAGTTATGCATTTATGTGTTTGCTAAATATTGCAGTAGAAAATTTTTATTTTTACGAAAAATATGTCTTTTTCTTTGAAAAATTGAATACTTTAATGCAAAACAAGAAATTTAAAAAGCATAGCTTTCTTGCATTCAATAATTTAAAATTTTAATTGATTCAAAAATATCTACAATTCATTGCTCAATTATTATTATTATTATTATTCATATATTTTATTATTATTTTGTTGATCAATTATTATTAGTATTTTATTTTATTATTTACAATAGACATTCTTCATATATTCTTTATATTTATATGTTAATTTGCTTTTTTATTATTTACAATTGATATGCCTTATATATTTTCTTTACACATATATTCTTTATATGTATGTTAATTTATTTTTTAATTATATTTAATTCTTGTCTTTTCTAGCAAATTATTTTTCTAAAAACAAATAACAAACAACTAAACCAAAAAACCAAATCATTGATCCTTTTTTTATACACTCTAAGAAGGTTACATTTTGACAATATATGAATAACATCTTTACGTGTACACAACACAGACACACACACATACACACACGCGCACACACATATATATATTATATGCATTTATTAGCATAGAAAATCTATCTAAGGAAGCTGACTACTTTTTAAGGCTTGCCGTGGAAATCGATCTTTAAGCAACTATTATTCTATTTTGAGGCTGTGCTCTTTCTCCGTGTTTACAGCAGTATTTTATTATTATTATCTGTTTTTTTCCCTTCTTAGCTATTGATTTACTCAGTAAAAAGTCTTGAAGTCTCGGAATTGCAAGCACATTTTTTCGTACTACTTCAAGCTTTGGAGCGTAGAAGCAATAAAGTAAATGGCAGCGCAATATGACTGAACACTTTTTTGCTACAAATTTTTATTCGTCTCATTTGTAAATTCAAATTAAACATTCTCTAAATTAAAAGCAAAATCTCCTCCCAATTTGTGCTTAGAATGAATTAAATAAATATACTTGATTTTTAATACATTTAGTATTGATATAATTAATTTCAAAATTAATAAAAAATTTTAAGAGAAAATATCGATTAGAGCGGTATTTTTTATAACTTTTTAATTCATACTAAGTTTTATTATTTAATTACTAATGTAGCCATATGCCTTCACATTTAACATAAACAGCACTTTTGTACTCAATAAAAAATTTAAAAAACTTTTTTTTGTTTTCGCACTTTTTTATAGAATGCAAGTTAGCATTGAAATGATTATATAGTTCAAATTTGGCGGTATTGAAGCAACATTGGTTGAAAAAATTAAGAAACCTCAATGTTTTTCTTTGCCAAAGGGCAGTCATAAGCATGTCACCTTTAATTAGCTAATTTGATTATCATTGTTCGGCTGATCATTGCTTTTAGTATCAGTTTAAAGCGTGGTTCACGTGTATCAATCTAAAGTGTAGTTCACGTGTATCAATTTGAAGTGCGGTTCACGTGTTTTATCAAGATACTTCTTGCATTTGTGTTGTACTTAAATATTTGGCAGAAGCAATTGCGTCTTTCTCAAAAATAGCATGAAAGGATGACTTTTATTCAATTTATTGTAGAATAATTTCATTAATCATAGTTATTTTTGTAATTTTAATAAAATCTCAATAATTGGAGATAGTATAAGATGAAAATTTTTAAATTGCTAACAATATATCAGATTAGATTTAGCATTTTAAAATTTTTCTTGCAGTTTTATAGGGAAATAAATTAAAATTACAAACATGGCAAGCTTCGTCATGAAACAAATGGTTGGTGGAAAATTGAACGAGATGAAAGGTTTGCAATTTTATTTTATGTACTTCATTTTCAAATTTTTAAAATATTTAAATTATTTAGAAGTTTAAATATTTTAAAAATTTGAAATTTATAAATTATAATGCAATTACAGTTCTAAAATTTTAGCATATTCGAGCAAAAAATAGTAGTTGAAATTTAACCTTAAAATATATTAATGAATTATATGCTGCATCGATAAACAGGTGGAATCGATAAATTGACTGGAGATAAAGATGGAGAAAGTGGCGATAAAACCGAGTCTGGTGAAGATCCCGAAGTATGTATAATTTTGCTTTATGACTTTTACCTGAAACTTTTAGACTTTTTGATTAATATATTTTCTTTTGAGAGTATTTTCTACTTGATCAATTTTTTAAAATACAATATTCAACTATAAAGAGCTTAGTGGGAGAGAGTTGGTAGGTAGTAGCTGCTCGACTGGAACAAGAAGAACGACGTAAAGAACGGCATCGCAAAATGGAACGTGAACGTGAAAAAATGCGACAAGATATTCGATCAAAAGTAATCTTGTTCTTTGACTGTAAACTGAAGTCTGTTTGAATATTTTCATATTTTTGATTTTGAGTATTTCGATATTTTTTATATTTTATTTTGAGAGTTTAATTAATATATACTATGTATTTCTGAAAATATTTTTGCAAGCAACTTATCAATCAGAAGTGCTACTTGTATACATTTCATTCATGGTTTAATCCTAATTTTTTTTCAAATTACAGTATAATATTCAAAAAAAAGAAGATGGTCCAGCTGGAGTACCCTTTGAATTAACTGCAGATGGCCGAATTATTGATTCATCTATGAAGAAGAATCCGCAAGGAATTACAGCACAGCTTGAAGATGACGATAGTTCGTTTTTTTAGATTTGCTATTGGAATATAATCAGTTGTAAATATTAGTAAAACGTATTTTATTAATTAATATAATAAATAAATTTCAGGCATTATCGGCCAATTGGGTTTGACTGAACAAGTTGAGAAAGCTAAGACTGTAGTACATGGAGCATTTGAAACAGTTAAAGGTTTCCTGCCTTTTGGAAAATAATATTGCAGTTGATTATTTTTAATAATGTTACAATAATATTATGAATGTTTTTAATATCTGAAAAATATTTGTATTGTTTGGTTATATTAGCAAATTTTTTTCGCCACAACAAATTTAAAATGATTTTGTCGTTCTGAGTAAAATGAATGAATAGTTTGCTAGAATTTTGCCTGAAATTTTATTTTCTGGTTGTAAGTTGAAAGGTTTTAATGAAATCCATATTAACAAACAAGCATTTATTTATTAGATAAATAAATTCGTTATCGTCCTGTAAAAATTATAGGAAAATAAAATGGTGAGTAGATAAAAATAAATACTACAATTGTTTGCATAAATCCATACAATTTTTTTTTGTATTTTTTGAATTTATCTAATTTTAGTGCAAAAAGAAGTGGAAAATTTTGCGTATTAACCAATCACTCACTCATTTAATTCATAATATTTATTTTTAAAGAAATACTGTATTTTGTTGGTCAAAATTATTCTTCGATCTCTTTTCTCAATTAATTTATATATTTTTGATCTTAATACGACTAATATTAGTATTTCTTTTCGTAAACTTTGTTTATATAAGTAGAAAATGTATAGAGTTGAAGAGAGTTGAAGAGAGTTGACTACTACTACTATATATGTAATTCGAAAACTGACAGAAGAGAGTATTTGCATTTCG